CTTGGTTATTCTTAAGATCTGTGGACTTCAACTCCCAGAATTCCTCAGCCAGCATGACCTCTGGGATTCTGGGAGTTGAAGTCCACAAGATTCTGGCACTTGAAGGGCCCCAGTCTCAAAAGGGGTCAAGGTCGGACACCCCGGCTGTAAAGGCTGTGGGGCCGCTGGGTCCCACTTTGATCCAGGAAGGTCTCGGTGAGGAGCGAAAGAGAATTGTAGCCAAAGTTTTCTGTTCTGGCTGCGGTAATATTTCTCGTTCCTCCTCTGTTTTTGGCAGAACCGTTGGCTGAAATCCAGGCAGCCTCGCTGGGTCCGTGGGAGACGTTTCCGCTGAACGGCCCTTTTGTGGACGTGGCTGAGGCATCTCTGAGGCAGGAGGAGTCTCTCCAGGTGGGTGATGCTTTTCCCCAGGAGAATACAGCTGGTCCTCGACTTACAACCGCAGTCGGGATGTCACCATGGCATCATCTCCTGCTTGAGCGGGGGGCTGGACTAGAAGACCTCCAAGGTCCCTTCCAGCTCTATTCCATTCCATTCCATTCCATATATTCTGTTCTGTTCTGTTCTGTTCTACTCTACTCTACTCTACTCTACTCTACTCTACTCTACTCTACTCTACTCTACTCTACTCTACTCTACTCTATCCCATCCCATCCCATCCCATCCCATCCCATCCCATCTATTCTGTTGTGTTCTGTTCCATCCTATCCTGTCCTGTCCTGTCCTATCATTAAGCAAGGCATCACGAGACCAGACCCAATTTTATTTCCATTTGTTAAAATGGTCATTAATTGAATCATGCATTCATTAAGTAAATTGCAGGGAGGTTAAGCAAACATTTTCATGGTCGGAATCTGGCTGGAAGATCACAAATTGCGATCATGTGACTGCAAGATTCTGCAGTTGTCGTAAATGCCAACTGGTTGTCCAGCGCCCAGATCTTGGGGTGGTACAATGGTCGTAACTTTGAGAATGGATCACGAGTCACTTTTTCTGTTGTAGCTTTGAACTGTCTGTCGTCAGATGAGGTTGCTCTGAGGACAGGGTTCGGCTCCCTTTCTCCCTTTGGCTCCCAAGAGATAGAGGGGACCGTGCACGGATTCTGGAGGGGAATGATGGGCCGTGTTGTCCTAGAGAACAGCTGAGTTTTTCCTTTGCAGAGGAGACTGGGGGATCTGGCACAGCAGACCCTCCTTCACCAGGTATTAGGAAGGAAGCTGGGCATGGCCCAGGGTTCCTCCACGCTCCATTTATGGCCCTTACAGGCCCCCCCCCCACTTGACAAGGCTGCAATTCTTGCTGCTTTGGGGGCAAGGTGGGTTTCGAAATTTTCAACTCCAACCATTCCTTCCCAGCTCAGGTCAATTTCTCCCACTAGAAGGGGTCTTAGGGCAGAACGGGCTTGGAAGACACCCAGCTCATCTGCCAACATCTTCCTGAGGGTCCCAAAGTCCCCTGCCCTCCGGTGACATCACAACTCCACCCTTTACTCAGGGCGGGAAGCCTGTGGGTGGCCCCCAGGCCAAAAATGGCTGCTCGCTCTCCATCTTCGGAGCCTCAGTTGCCTTAAAGTTCTGCAGAGGACTAGCGGGCTGAAGCCGGGATGGGGCCAGGCCCGTGGTCCAGTTGGGGGTGGCTGTCCTGCCTGTCTCTGGTGCTCATCCTGGGTGTCTCTTCCTTCCATAGAACGCCTCTGCCCACCTGGTCTCCCTCTTCAAGGACTTTCTGATCACCTACAGGAAGAGCTACCTGGACGAAAGAGGTGACTGTGGAAAGGGGGACGTTGCAGAGGGACCTGTTACCCTTTGCAGTTGGGGGGGCAAGCCCCATTGCATAATTTCATGAAGATATTGTAGGCATGACCCAGAGATTGCGGCTTTCAAAAGAGAACTCCAATCATATTGTAAGACGCCCAAAATCTCTGCATCAGTGAGATGGACAACATAAAAACCAGATAGATGAGAGAGAGAGACAGACAGACAGACAATGGCTAGCTAGATGATAAAGAAAGTGAAAGAAAAGAAAAATAGATAAAAGATAGACAGAATATAGCTAAATGATAGATAAAATGAAAAAAAGAAAGTGAGGATAGAAAGATATATAAAGACAGAATATAGAAGATAAAGAAACTGAAAGAAAGAAAAAGAAAGATAAAGATAGACAGAATATAGATAGAAAGATAAAGATAGATAGATTAGATGGATATAAAGACAGAATATAGAAGAGAAAGAAAAAAGACAAACAGACAGAAGCTTTGGAAGTGAAGCTCATTCAGTGGAATGGGCTCCACAGTGGAAGAATTCCAGGCCTCCATTTAAGCAGAGGGTTTGCGTTGGGTCCTCAGTCTGCCATATCCGGCTTAGGCTTATTCTGCATCTGCATAACTTCGTTAATCTGTGTACAAGCACTCCTTGATTTACAGTATTCACTTAGTGATTGTTTGAAGCTACAACAGCACTGAAAAAGTAACTTACAACCAGTCCTCACACTTACGACCATCACGGCATCCCCGAGAGCCAGTTTGGTCTAGACTCTAGTGGTCAAGGCACCAGGCTAGAAAGCAGGGGACCGTGAGTTCAAGTCCTGCCTTAGCCTTGAAAACCAATCACTAGGAGACGGTGAGTTCTAGTTCTGCCTTAGGCATGAAAGCTGGCTGGGTGACTTTGGGCCAGTCCCTCCCTCTCAGCCCAACCCACCTCACAGGGTTGTTGTTGTGGGGAAAATAGGAGGAGGGAGGGGCGTTGGATAGGTTTGCCCCCTTGAGCTATTTGTCAAAATAATGAAGGCGCGTTGCAAATAAATAAACAATCAAAATTTGGGTGGTTGTCAACCAGCATGTATTTACAATGGTTGCAGCATCCCAGCATCACGTGATCACCGTTTGTGGGCTTGCTGGCTGACTTCCAACAGGCAACGGCAGTAGGGGAAGCCGGTTTCACTTAACATCCATGTGATTCATTTAGCAATTGCAGTGATTCTATTGAGGACCGTGGCAAAAAAATAATGGTAAAATTGGGCACGACGTACTTCACAATTGCTTTGCTGACTAACCAAAATTCCGGTCATAAGTGCAGGATGACTAATCCTCATTCTAACTGGGGGCTGTTTTCTTCCAGAGACCCAAAGGCGCTTCCGGATCTTTGCTGAGAACCTGGAGAGGGCCCGTCTCTATCAGGAGCTGGACCAGGGCACTGCAGAATACGGAGTCACCAAATTTAGCGACCTGACAGGTACGGCGGGCAGGAAGTTTGGTTCCGGTTTCTTTTCTGGATTGCAAAGGTTCCTTGGAAAGCGGAGGAACATTTTGCACCTGGATCCAATTGTGTCCCATGCAAAACTATCCGTCTCATCTGCAGGGGATCATTTCTCGGTCAAAANAAAAAGGTGCCGGAACTCCGTTCTGGGTGTTCTATGAGAAAAAGAGCCCTGCTTATACCATTCCAGGCAAATGGCTGTCCAATCTTTCCTTGAAAACCTCCAGCGGTGGAGATCCTTTCTTGTTGCAACTTACACACTTCTATGAATCCAGAATAACGGAGTTGGAAGGGACCTTGGAGGACTTCTAGTCCACCCCTCTGCCCAAGGCAGGACACCTTATTCTGTCCTGGACAAATGTCTGTCCAGTCTCTTCTTAAAAGCCTCCAGCGATGGAGCACTCACGGCCTCTGGAAGGAAGCGGCTTCATTGATTAATTGCTCTCATTGTCAGAGAATTTCTCATTAATTTATTAAGTCCTGGTGCTTTTTTCTTGAGAACAGGTGGTGAACGGAGTCAAACACTACTTGGAGGTCGTCCTGCTCCAGAGTCTGTGCAGGAGGGGTGAGATTGCGGACTGCGGCAGCCCTTCGGGGTCTCTCCCTCTGGGAAAACCAGAACACGTGGTAAGCAGGGACCCCCCCCAAAGCATTCGCTTCTAATTGAGAGGATGGGTTTGATAAAAAAAAAATATGTCACCTTATCAACGCAAATGGGCACCATATAAATTTAGTAAATAATTGTTTTTACTGTTAATAACACAACAATCAAAAATAATAGTTTTGACTAATTTTCAAAGCACTCCGTTTTTGCATAGTTCCATTGAAAATGGTTTGGGCTGGTTGGAAGTTAGTGCGGCCACTGATTCCTTTTCCAGAGGGACTCGGGGTGACAGGATAGCATCTTCCAATACTTTAGGGGCTGCCACAGAGACGAGAGGGTCAACCTATTGTCCAAAGCATCGGAAGGCCAAACAAGCAACGGATGGAAACTAATCAAGGAGAGAAGCAACCTGGAATAAAGGAGGAATTTCCTGAGAACAATTAATCAGTGGAACAACTTGCCTCTACAAGTTATGGGCACTCCATCACTGGAGGTTTTTAAGAAGAGATTGGGCAGCCAATTGTCTGAAATGGTATAGGGTCTCCTGCTTGTGCTTGAGCAGGGGGCTGGACTAGAAGATCTCCAAGGTCCCTTCCAACTCTGTTATTCTGTATTCTGTAACCTTCATACTTCTATGCACAGGGCATTAGCTATACAGCATAGAATCCTAGGGCTGGAAGGGACCTTGGAGGTCTTCTAATCCAGCCCCCTAGTCAAGGCAGGAGACCTTATGCCATTGCAGACAAATGGCTGTCCAGTCTCTTCTTAAAAGCCTCCAGTGATGGAGCAGCCACAACTTCGGGAGCCAAGCTATTCCACCGATTAATTGTTCTCACGGTCAGGAAGTAAGTTTCTCCTACGTTGCTTCTCTCTTTGATAACTTTCCATGAGACAAGACTCATGGATCTTGGAGAAGGTCCGGCATATGCTGCTCAGGGATGCCGAGCTAGGGCCTCGCTTGACTCCTCCTCCCAGCCTAGCTGCCAGTTTCCCAACGCCAAGAAAGTCAGGGCGCTGGGCGAGAGAGCTCCCACGAAGCCTCTGCTCAGACGCTTTTCTGGGTGGCTCTGATGAAGTTGAGAAACCCGGATCTGGACTGTTAGTAAACCCGATTTCCAATTCCGCCCTGCCCA